CCCCAAAACCCCAAAACCCCAAAACCCCAAAACCCCAAAACCCCAAAACCCCAAAACCCCAAAACCCCACAAATTAAATCCAGGGTTGAAATTACTTAAGAATCTTTGCAAAGGGGCTTTGGGACATTTTCTTCATTTTCCAAAATTCTTTCTTAATCTTCATTGATTTTCCCTTTGGGCTTCTCAGGCTCATCATCATCATGTAGTCGTCCTCTTGGCTAGACAGTTTAGGCTGTAGGTTACTCGACTATTTCATCTATGAAAGGAAGGGAGACAGTGTCTGCATCTTTATTTTTAGGGGTTGAAGACTATAGGTCAGCCACAAGTTTGGGTACATCAATCTTCGCAAAAGTGGAATATGTCTTCATTGCTTGGGCAGCTGACTCAGAGTTGGGAATAACCTTTTGCTTTGAAAATACTGTGCTGTGGGATCTGTCGTATTTTGTGTTAAATGTTGAGTTCTTGAATTGAGAGTTTATCTTCTCTAGAAGATTAATGTGATTAGGACAAAGTGGAGAAGGGTGATAGCTTACGCATTTTTGAAGTTGACTTTGCCTTTTTCAAGGTCTAAATGTTAAAAGACACATACCTCCTTCTTTATTATCTTTTTGATGCTATTATTTCTAGTAATAGGAATAGTCGATTTTCCAATTTTATTTATCCTAAACATTATCTTTTATCATACTTGTCAGTAAGTCTTTCTGTAAATCTCAAATTTGTCTGGTACTTTGCCATTTCAGGCAATATATTGCGTCTTTCTTGTTTTAAAGTATTGCTCGTATGAGGAATAAAGAATATGCTATCTGGCAAGTTAATCTTCAAAACCTACTTTTATCCTTAAAATTCCTTCCTCTCTGCTGATCTGTTTTCAGAGGTGTCATCTCTGTACTGTCCTCTTCCTTCTCATAAATGATATTTTTGCCTTCGGCTAAAATTCGCAACTACAAGTACCATTTTTGATTTCCAGGACCTTGATATGAGTCAGATTCTTTTTGGTGTCTTTACTAACTTTCTTCGGTGTCTTGATGCCTTCCTGTTCTAATCTCTCTAAATTATGAGGAATTATCTAATAAATATTGTGCAAATATTAGGTAAAATAAAGCTTTAGGACTACCTTTGGACTCATCACGAAGAAATAGTTGACTGTTCTGACGCCTATATTTAGAGGCAGCAGCTTACTCAAGATTTTTAAGTCTTTCACCATGGATGGACTCTTCAAATAGTTTGAGGTAGGTTTGCTCCTTATTCTTCCTCTCATTGCACACATCCAAGATTTTGAGTATTGAATTGCTGATTTTCTTGGGGCCTTTAGTCTCTATTTCTGGTTGTAAAATATGTTTTGGCGGAAATCAAGGGAATCCATACCTGATTTTACACGAGTAAGCTTATGAATATGCTCTTTGCTTCCAAAATTTTTGACGAAATGCTTAACCTTTTCAGATGCAATGTGAAGTCTCTTATAAAAATCAGATTTTGACTCCTCGAAGTTTCCTACAAATTACTAGAATCGTACACTGAATTTTTGGAAAGATAGCATCGACTCATGATGGTGGAGAATAATCAATCTCAGTGGTTTGCTCTTCTGCCCCTGGAAGTTTCGTATTTGCATTCTAGAAATATATTGATATTTCATAGATTTTTAGGGAAATATTTCTTCGATTCTTACCACAAATAGATAATTCTTTTTACTTAAATTTAATATTAGCTACAGATTTCCTTCTTTGTTTAGACCTCATCGTGTTCCATCCAGAAGGTCTGACTTTCTAATGCATGATAACAAAAGATGGTTTATAAAATATAAAATAAAAGATTTTACTATAAGCCTTTTATCAAATATTTGGATGCAAACTAACCAAATCCTAGCACACTTCTTACATTCGAATCTCTTCTCTTTGAGTATCCTTTTGACACTATAAAAATTCACTCAAACTACTCAAAAATTAGAAATTCGAAAACCTCAGAGTACTCAGCCCTAAGAGTGCATTTTCTACCTAAATCCCCTCCAAAACCACACACAAGCCTCCCCATTCTCATTCCAAAATCTCCAAATCCTTACCATGCGGTGACTTCTGATGCGTTGTAAGCAATTCAAGCTTATTCCTACTAACCGTCTGTGCTCTAAGCGGACTAATATTCCCACTGGTCGAGTTAGGGGCCTTCCTCATTTTACCAATCAATTATATAAAATAAATATGGGGTTTTGGGGTTTTGGGGTTTTGGGGTTTTGGGG